GGGTCAGGGGGCAGGGTCGGGGGTCCCACCTGCAGGCAGTAGTTGGGCCTGTGGGTGGCCATGAGCAGGGAATCCACCTCGTGGGGCAGCAGGATGTTCTGGAAGGGGGAGGGAGGGAAATCAGGGCGGAGGGGATTGTTGGCTGTTAGGTGAGGGCTCTGCCGGGCCGCGGTTGGAAGTCGCCGCGCAAGCTGGGGCGTGCACCGGGCCGCGTCCGCCGGCAGGCTCTGCCTGGTTGTGGCACGCCGGCAGTGAGCGCCCGCCGCCCGCTGCAAGAATCAGCCGGAGAGCCCTCGGTTTCAGTCGACGCACCGCTCAACGCGGCCGTACCCGCTCCCGACAAGACAGGTCCGTCATATGCGCCGTGATGCCGACACATCTGCCGTTGTGCCGACTTGGACACTGTGAGTCTGATCCAATAGACACTCGTTATCCAAAAAACTGGACATCCAAACCCCTGCCGCCCACCTTGACCTCATCCCGCAGGTCCTCGCCCTTGCGCAGGTGGCACATGAGGGACTTGCTGAAGGCAGGGGTCCAGCGCACCATCATCTCCCGCAGCTCGGGCTTGTCCTCGGGGATGTAGGACAGGCCCTGGGTGTGTGTGTGTGTGTGTGTGTGTGTGTGCGTGTGTGTGAGTGTGTGTGTGAGTGTGTGTGTGCGTGCGCGCAGTGTGTGCCCCGCATGTGTAACGTGTAAGGGGGGGGGGGTGTCCTGACATTGTCGTGGGGGATGCAGGGGACAACTTCGCCCTCATCGCAGGCCCGCCGGGCCAAGCGCACAGCCAGCATCGCGTCGCTGGGGCCGTTGACAAGGCGGCAGGGCAAGGGCCGTCGCGTGCGCAATGTTGAGGGGGTCGCAATCTGATTGTGTGTGCATGTCGGGTGGCGGCGCGGGGCCCACCTGGCGGACGATGTCGCGGGACCTGTTCAGCACCAGACCCCACATCTTACGCGCCTCGTCCCAACGGCCGTAGCTGCAGCGTCGGGAGGGTGCGGGGCAGGCGTGCGCGGCGCGAGACCGTCAGACGACTGGCATTGTGGGCGGTGGCTCACCGCGCGACAACGCGCGTCCCCGCCGCGCTTGGCCTGCTGAGGTTTCGAGTTCACCGGGGACGCGTCCTCTGTCGAGGCAGTGGGGTCGCAAGCCCCGGGACACCCTGACGCCCCTAGTTTGTAGAGCCACTCCTGCTGTGCAAGGGTGCATCCATACACCCACGGCCAATGCGTGTGCGTGCATGCACATGCACACACACTCTCATGCACACACACGCGCGCGCGCGAGCGCGTGCGCACCTGGAGTTGGTGCGGAACACCAGGAGCAGCGACAGCGCAAACGAGGTCAGGCCAAAGGGCTCCTTGGTGGTCAGCTGGATGGTGGGGGCGCCATCCGGCAGGTACCCGGCCTGGTTTGTGCGGAGGCCGGGGCGAGGGCGCGGGCGTGGGTGTGAAGTCAGGTGGGGGGGGGGTGTATGGGCAGTGCAGGCCGTTGGAGTGAGGAGCGCGACGCGCAAAGGCCCCCCGCATGGCACCGCTGGTGGTGGGGATGTCGCAGCATGGGGTGCGATGAGTGGTGCTGATGTGTGTGAATGTGTGTGTGTGTGTGTGTGTGTGCACGCGCCCGCATGTGTATGTGTGTGTACGTGTACATGTAGGCTGGTGCATGTGCATGTTAGCATGCGTGTGTATAGAGGGGGTCACCTGGCGGAGGGTCTCGTAGGTGACCACGAAAGAGGCGACCGCGGTGACGTACAGCAGGGGGCGGGACAGGCCCCACACCACGCGGGACCTGGGTGTGTGCGTGTGGGGGGGCGTGCGGCGGGCCGCGGTGTGTCAGTCGGCGCGTCGCAACCGACCCACTCATGAGCGCAGCGCCGGCGCGGATCGGGGCGCGCGCGTGCGGCGGCCCGGGGGCGGCTCGCATGAAGCACGGCGTAGATCGGCGGGACTCACGTGAACATGGATGAGATGTGGCGTGCGTAGCGGTTGGTGCTGCGGTGCACCTCCCAATTGTCGACGCCGAAGACCTGGTTTTAGGGGATACGATTTGACATTGACAGTGGTGATCGGGGGCAGAGAGGTGAGGGTGAGGGGTGGGAGACGCATGTGTATGTATTGTGTTCGTGTGCGTGTGAGGGGG